TTGGTCTTGGTCTTGGTCTCGGACCTCTACTGTCTTTTACTTTCTTAATTTTTATGAAAAGTATCAACTCAATGAATGGGTTATTTATTAATAACAAACCGTAGATAGATGCAACTTCCCGCTTTCAATGAGAGTACGTCGCATTGGTTTGACAAGGTTCTAACTAAAAATTTTTATGTTTGGAGAATTTAAAAAAAAATGTTTTAATTTTTTTTTAATGTTTATTTAAAATTATTTAGATTCAGAGATGTAGGTCTTGAGACCAAAGTCTTGGTTTTTAGACGCCTCGAGTCTCATATTTAACTATTTAAAAAAAAAAAAATATTTTCGTCGTTAAAAAAAATGTTTTACAACGTTTTTACAACATAAAAATATAATATTAAAGTTTCAACCGGAGCTAGCAGAAGATATGGTCTTACCATCCAGTATCCAGTCTTGGTCTTGGTATTAGTCTTGAAGTCTAAAGTCTTAGTCTTGGTCTTAAGCCCAAGTGTCTTGGTCTTAGTCTTGGTCTTTGTCTTTATTGTCTTGACTATATCTCTGCTAATAGCTACTGTTTTACAAACATTTTAAAAATTTTTCAATGATGAAGCAGCCCTCTTAAAACCTTCACAACGCATTACTCACATCTGACTTAGCGGACCAAGCATTTTAATAATACGTGGATTATGAATAAGGTTATGAAACTTCAAAGTTAAGCCACACTTAAACACAAAACAGTATTCTTGTAAAAACTCAGTGATAAGAGAACCAAAAAATAATAAATCAGATTTGTTAAAATTTAAACCAAATGAGTAAAGGACAATGTGTCTTTACAATAAAAAAACAACCCAAACATCGTCACCAAAAGGAACTAAATCCCCAACTTATAAAGGAAAGCTTAAAACCAAATTTAGCATTTCAATTGCTCCAATATTAATAGAACCATTTTTTTTAAATCTCAGTGGGACATAAAGTAATTGGCGAGTGACCATATGAAAAATTTCTCATTCTGCTATTTATGTCAACTAGATTGAAGAATTTTTTCTGAAATACTAGATAGTTTAACATTTTTTGAAAAACATAATTGAAAATGCCTTTTAACAAATTGTGCATAATATCACAATGAATATTATCAGCAACACTTTTCCATTATACCATTGAGAGAGCAATTAGGTAAAGAAACGTCATAATTGTAACATTCTTTAGTTCTAAGAAATTTAACAGGTTCAACAAAAATACTGTCGAAGTTTTTACGTTTTATTTTGCATATTATGCATGGGTATATTGCAGTAAAACTTTCCACATAACCTAATACTCTATTTAAACCGAGATTGTCATTAATAATTTGAGCAAGGACAGCATTTGTTTTAAGCTCATCAGCGTCAATTTTTATAGTAAAGCCTTTTTGTTTACAATTCTGTCATTTCTTCAATGTATATAGAAAATGCATCTTTATTTAAATACTTAATGCAATCAAAAGAATATAAAATTGTACTTAAGAAAATATTCTCAAGTTTTGAGTTATGAAGCGGTTTTAATTATTTTAGAATTGAACATAAAGTTCCAATTTTGTGAACAGTCCTATGTGAACCCAATGGATTAGCAGTTTCTAAATCATATATAAAAAAAAGAACTGGAATCACGAAAATATTTTGGGAATGACCATGTTGACAAAGTAATTGATGTTTTTGCTACTCTCCATCTTTAAAGTCTGAAACCATTAGTAAATAGACTAAACCATAAGTAGATAGTTTTACTTCTTATTTTATCAAGTACATCAGAAAAACTTGAAGACACTGCTTTAATAAAATACATTGCCCTGTTGCAATACAAGTTGAGCTAACTATTCCTATAGCTGTTCTTTGAGTGCTTATAAAATGACTTATTGACTATGATTTTGGTTTTATATAATGCCCTTTCTTTTCAAAATAATTTGTAAGTTTAAGCAAACTTTCTAAACCTTTAAAATGTTTTTTGAGACGTGAGATATTTTCAAAGAAATTATTACATTTATCATTTTGGAGACCATGCTTTTCAAAATTTACTTGGGTCTCGTAACTAATTCCTGTTACAATTGATGACACAAAGTCCAAACATCCATCCACATTTTTTAAAGTAGTGGTTAGGGGCAGATTAGAATAACTTCTTAGTTTAGAAATAAAATAAGCAGATTTGTTGAAAATACCATCAATTTCATCAAATCTGATACCAAAATTTGACATATTATCTGTGCAAATGGGCTCGGTATCGTCAAAGATAAAGACAAGTTATTCCAAGAGAAACATTGTTGCGTAATATCTGCTTCTTTTAAAGTAGGTCTTTGAAGTATATCTTGATGAGATTTTTCAATATGTTTTGTAAGACTTTGGAAAAAATTATATTCCATCGGACAACCATTTTGACTGCAAACTAATCTTCCGCTATAACTATGTTTGTTGTGAAAACTTTTAAATGATATTTATATGAGTTGCTGGATCTAGCAGTATATTCACAATAAGCACAGTTATTCATAGTTATAGTGACATTGATAAAATTTTCATTTCAGTTGAAACTACGATGCCTGATTTAATGAAGAAAAAAAATTGCAACAAAATCTCGTTATTTTCTCCTGTTATTTGCAACGCCGTGGCGCATTCGGTGAAAATAACAAATACAATTTTGTAAATTTAACCAAATAAATTTGTTATACTTTGCTTGAAGACAAAAGCAAAAACATCATCAAACCAAATAATTTGGTTAAAATAACAAAATCGATTTGGTAAAGTTCACACAAGTTTTGGTATATTTTACCAAACAGGTTTGTAGCTTTTACAAAAATTACTCAACCAAACATATTTGGTTAAATTAACAAAACAAATTTTTGCAGATTCTTTGATGAGTTTTAAAACCACGCAAATAAAAATAATCTGGTTAAATTTGCATACAACTTATTATGTAATACTTACACATTAGTCAGTGATGACAGAATTTTTTTCTTCTAATTAGATCACATTATGTGATTAGATCACATCGTGTGATTAGATGAAATCGTGTAATTAGATCACATCGTGTGATTAGATCATATCGTGTGATTAGATCACATCGTGTGCAGCCTAAAAATTAATAATCTTTTATAAGTATTTCAGTTTTAAAAGATGTTGTTGCATCATATTATAAATTAATATCATTTTCTTTTTCCTGGTCATTAAAAATTTGAATAAAAAAATCACAGTAATCTTAAGTTTTCTTTTAGTATTCCTAAATGTCATACTTGTAATCTACATGTATTCCTAAATGTCATACATGTAATCTTAAGTTATTCGCCTTTTATCAAAAAAGATTAGATAATTTGTTGCCATATAATATACAGCACCAAATTGTCTAATCTTTTTTGATATGTAACATGTTTTGATATGTAACATGTTAATCTTTTTTGATATGTTAACATGTATATTATATATGTAACAATTTTATTTTTTATTGATTTAACTATTCTAGATAACTATAATTTTTATAACGTAGAACTAATAACTAAATATTGGCTTGCTCTGGAGAAATTGTTTAATGCAGTTAATAACGAGATTTTTTTATCAATATGTCTTTTTGTTGTTTTTTTTAGATATAAAAAATGTTGCAGAGTCACTCATGTTTCTGTAAATAAAGCTAACATAATTTTAATACAATGTCTAACTGTAGACTCAGTTTAAAAAAGCGGCTTGTTACTATTAACAGAATATTAAGATAAACCAAGTAATAAGTTGTTATAAATCACTCTTCACTTTCTTTTCTAAATTTTATTCTATCTATGGACATTGTGCTTATTTAAATGTATATGTAATCAAATCTTCAAAAATTAAGAAGAAAACTAAGAAAAAAAGAAAAAATAAACTCTTAAGGTTTACTGTTTAGTATGAGACACATTTTATGTGTTATTAATGCTTATCTTTCAAAACAATGCACCTTTTTGGGTAATATAATTCTATGGTTGATTATCTTATATACAAACAACAAACGACAATTAAACATGTACCAGATTTTGACTTTCAATAAAGTCTGGCACGCTAGCCTTCCCCATAGCTCTTTTCATAAGGTATGTCAGCTAAAATTTTAAAATTATTAAATTGTTCTTTGCTAATTAAAATACTTAAGCCATCTTTGATAAAAAACACTCTCCTTCATCGTTATTAACCCTGGTCCTGTCTTGTTTTTTATCTATATTATTAACTTTAATAATTTAATGATAACTTTTCTATTTATTGATGAAACAACTACCCGGTGAGTAATGAGCTAGGGAATAGCTAGTTAGTCGCTACCTACGGGAAGAAGACACGTTTAAAACGTATAAAATAAGCAGTAAGACGTGTTTTAAACGTTTTAAACACGTTATATGACATATAGCTTTTTTCCACCGGGTATATACTCCAGTCTTGATGAGAATCAGTTATTATTTGATTGCTTTGCAATCAAATAGTATAGGATGTCGGTTTTGAATGCGATATTTTTTCTGTGAAAGCTTTGAGTTTGTAGTAGCAGATTAATTTTAACCCAATGAATCTCAGTTGTTTACTTAATACTTATTGTAGTATTGTTGGTATTTTTTGTCGAAAGTTTATTAACTAATTGTAATTTTTCATTTTTTTAAATCTTGTCGTTAAATTGTTGTTGAATTTGCGTTAAACTCGTCATTATAAGCCCTGCAATATAAGTATTTGATTTACTAGTTCTAAGTTAGCTCGTTCAAATTTAGGAAAATATTTTTAAATTAATTTTTTACTTAAATAGTACATCATTTTTTATTAATAATTCCCATATTTTCAGGCGGTAAAAAAATTAAGCTTTTAAAAACGGGCAAAACTCAAATTAAAGTTAAAAACTTTCAATAAAATTATTATCAAATATATATATTTTTTTATTGAAAGTTGTTTTTCTTTTTTTTTTCCCTTATCTTTTTCACCCAATGTTTATCAATCTTATTGTTTGTGTTGCTATTATTTTATTATTATGTGGTTGATCATAAAATGAAATATGAAAACTCGTACTTACATATACTTACATATTTTTAAAATACATAGTTATTTACCATTAATTTAAAAGTTTATTTGCAATTTATACAGGTGAAAGTTTAACAACACAAAATATCAATATGAGTTTATTTTTGTGGCCACTCTTATCTTTAATTCATCTTCAGCTTTTAAGCGTCTCCATTTTGCACGTCTGTTTTGAAACCATGTTTTAATTTGTCGCTCAGAGAGATCAAGCGAGCGTGAAATTTGTTTTCGTTCGTATGGAGAAATGTATTTTTGAACTAAAAACACTCGTTCAAGCTCTGTGGATTGACTATGAGAAAATCGCACCTGAACACACTTTTTAGAATCGTCGTTATTTGGATATAAAAAGTCTTGTTTTCGATGTGAGCACGGATAACGTAATGACGAACCTAAAAAAAAAATGTTTATATAAATATATATATTTTTAAAAATATATATACTTTTAAAATAGTTAAACTTATACATATATTTTTTAAAATACAATGTTTTAAGTTTTACTAGTAAATTACAAATAAATATATATAGTGCTCGAAGTGAGGCAATATGCGGTGGGATGCCATCCCATCACCTTTTTGTAAAGTATAAACCAGCCCGCTACCTTTTTATAAATCTCTATATAACAGTGATTAGGCGGAATGGTACTTTTATTTTACGTATACCATTACTTTTTTTTTTTTTCACTTCGAGCACTGTTTATATATATATATATATATATATATATATATATATATATATATATATATATATATATATATATATATATATATATATATATATATATATATATATATATATATATATATATATATATATATATATATATATATATATATATATATATATATATATATATATAATTTACTAGTTAAACTTATTCAACTTAAAGGTAGTTTAAAAAGGTATCAGTTGCTAACTGCATAAACTTTATTACTGTTTATTTGCTTTTTCTATTTATTTTTATTTGAGATATGATTGAATTTATGTTTAAGACTTAAACGAAAAGACATGTCAAGAACTTGTTACCCTCTTCAAGTGTTACGTCACTATAGAACTGTTGCGAAATCCAAAAAGTCTAACTTTTTTCGTTTTGTTTTATTTATACAAAGCACTTTTTTTCTTTCTTACTAAACAAATATTTAATGACTTCTTTAAATATCTGCGCCAGTAATCGAAGTCGTTTATTGCCTGTTAATCACTTATTTATTGTTTTGACTACGATAAGGAACGCTTTACAAAAGTAATTGCAAACAGAAACAATTTGTTTATTATGTTTCTACTTTCACACGGAAGTGACCGCTTCAACTTTTTTTCTTTGAAAAAAAAAAGCTGAGAATATTCATTGTGATTTTTGGTAGTTTAATTATAAAATTACATCCAATTCATACAAAGATAATTAACTTATAAAATGATAATTTGTATACGTTATTAAGTCGTTATTCAGTCGTTATTTATATCAAATATTACAAAATAATAAAATGTCTCTTTTTTTTTAACAGAAAATTCGACACCCATACAATTAAACTAGACAAACAGTTTAACCTCAATGTATGAACAGTTATCATTTTACACTTTGGAACATATGTTCGGCTAATATTAGCTCATCTTATTTTTAAATTTCACGCGGCATATAATTATCTAGGAAAATACATAGGTTTTTGATATCACAGTAGCATATTTAAGGTGGAGCATCTCTAGCAAATTATCTAATTTACAGGATTTTAAAAGGTGCTATATTAAAGGTAGAAACATGCTTCGTTTTATATTACGTCGTTTTATACTCCGTCGTTACGTAGAGGTCTGTTACATGCGTTTTACAATTGCTTCAAGGCATCACATATTTAATGAACAAATATTTAATTAACCTTGTATTTATGGCATATTTATACACCGATAAGTAATAAAGAAATGCAAAATAAAATAGCAATTATAAAACATATTTAAACAACAAAATTTCCTAAAATTTTATAGTAGTATAATATTTAAAAATGTAAATAAAGAATTGACAAAAAAATTATATATATATATATATATATATATATATATATATATATATATATATATATATATATATATATATATATATATATATATATATATATATAATACAATAAATACATACTTTTTAAAGACAAGTGATCGTTCCACAACGGTACACTAAACGCTGATCGAACACAATCACTTTGGTTTTGAAGTATATTTAAAGGAGGATAGGTTGTTCTTTTGTAAAATTCTTCATAAAGTTCCATTTTAGTTTCAATAGGCCGTTCACTAAACAAAATTTTTAAAGAAGTATTTTCTTTGAACTCGCTTTCGACCAACAGTCCCGCTAATGCTTTTGGTGATGAACCGAATGGTTTGTGGTGACTAATCTTTTGTTCTCTAGAAAACTCGTTTACTGAGCCGTTTATTTTTTCTGATAATTTATTGTCCTTTATTTTTCCTGATGTTTCACTGCACTTAATGCTTGTCTCTAATTTTTTTTTGTGAAAAAATACATTTGGGTAACAGTTTCCGTCAAAGTTAGATATACTTTTAATGCAGCCTTTTGGCTTTTTGAGCAGATTTTCGATACTGAATTCTGATGAAAACTCTCTTTCTTCTTTCCTCTTGAGCATTTTAAAAAGCGTTATAATGTTGATCACTTTTATAAGAAATTTATTGTGAGTTTCTTTTTAATGTTTTAAAAAATTGACTCTTTATAATGTTAAAAAACACTTTAAAGTTTTTTGCTTCTGCAGATTTTAAAAAGCCCGTCAAATCGCTACAAATTCTTGGCAAAGCCTAAATGAAAAGTGCAAAAGAATTCGCGATACCAATCATAATTAGCTGTTCTTTCGGATTTATAATAAAATATAAGTATTTGTTTAGTATGTTTATCTAGTGTAAGCACTATCCCCCGTTATTATTGATGAGTTAACAATGGTAATTTAAGAGTTCATGCTCCACTATGGGCGAGGTTGTCTCCATTACTCACGTCTTATCCTTTAAACCTGTCAATACATTTTTTAAGTATATCAAGTCTTATTTTTTGATTGGTTAAAAAATATTTCATTCAACTGATATAGAACTAAACTTTTAAGCTATTATTTTCTATTGACCATCATATTGGATTTATGAAACACACACTGTACACATATATTTATGGGTGTATAGATTATTATTATTTACGCTTTAAGATAATGTATATGGCGCCTTTAAAATGAAAGTTTATACCAAATAAAAGCAATAGATCCAAACAATAATATTAACAAAACCATGCCAATCATTTATCAATTATTCCAAAAGAATTTATTTGACTTAGGGTGCTTTACAACTCTTTGACATGGCATGCGTAATCTTTAATATAATGACTTCGGTATACATTATTCTGCATGACCTTGGCATTATTTAACATTATCTTGTCATCAATATTGAAAATATTTGTGCAACAAAAACTGTTCATAAACATTTGCCTTATTCACTTTACTTATAAATAAAAATCACGCGCATTTAGGTTTTAATAAAACTTACATCGTTATTTATTGACAATAATTATTATCTTTTAATACTAAAATATTTTTAAAACAACTTTTGTTTGTTAAACATTTCTTTATATAGTTTTAAATAAACAGTAAAAAATTAAATAAACAATTCAACAAGCATAAACAGTAAAAATAAACTCCGATTTCTGTTTTATGAAGCTTGAAAATAAAAAATATATTTTAAAAATCTTAAAAGCGATTTAAGCTGTATAATAAAGTATAATTTATAATAAATAAAATAATATCTTTGTATTGTTTGTTTGGTGGTTTGAAATTTATGTTTCTACCTTCAAACTTACAATACAAAGATCAAAATCACGGTTTAGGTATATCTTTGTATTATTTTCACAGATACATTGATGCGAGACGATTCATGTATCATAAATCACGAATGGGTATCCTGATTATTATTCATGGTATATACTGGTATTAATAACGGGTAAATGCATCATGAATGAATCGCGTATGTACCCGTAAAACAGAATAATAATTGCATAAAATTACTAAAGTTATTTTATAAATGTTTTCAATGTTTACAAACTATTTAAAATCTTAAAGTAAAGTCATGTCAAATTGGATTAAATTTGACATGATTTTACTCTAATAAAATCTTGGAATAAATTGAATTTTTTTTTAATAAGAGATTTTTTCGATTTGTAAAATTTTTTTTTTAATATTTTATTAAGAAAAAAAGGTTTCTAAGATGAGTTCAAAAGTATTTTACAAAATATGTTTTTAAAATTTTTAAGTAAAAATATCTTTAATAATAATAATAAAACTATTTATTATATTTTTAAGTAAAAATATAATAAATAGTTTTACTATTATTATTAAAGTGGTTTTTTATGTAAATTACATAATTAATAATAATTAGATGTTAACTAATAAAGTATTAATTAATAATTTAATTAATACTTTAAAAAATTAATTAATTAATAAGTGTAAAAATTTTCGAGTATAATTTTAGAGAAAGATGCATTTTTGTAATTTTTTTATCTTTTGTCAGGAAGTAATTTATTCAATTTTAAAAATTTTGTTCTTCAGTATTTATGTTACAAACAACATTTTAAGCATAAAAGTTTTTAAGTCAAATTTTAAGTACAAAAAAAATTAAAAAAAAATACCAACTTTTTTAAACAAATGTCAAAAAAACTTCTTTTTAAAATCTATAAAATTATACCATTTAATGAGCAGAAAATAGAGCAAAAAATAGTGTACAAAGCAGGAAAAAGTAAATTTTCGTTGTTTTTTTTTTTCGTTTTTCATTAAAATAAAAAAATGCTTAAAGTGCCTTATTTAATATACAACTTAATTTGACTTGATTTTTTGTAACATTAAACAGAAAACTGTCGGCAAAAAAAATTTGTTGTGTTTTAAGTTTACTTGGTTGTTGCAGTCATTACTATAACTAACTAAGGCATAGTTATTGTTTTCTTCAATAGTTTCATTTTTAAACCAGAAAAAAAAAACGTTATTAATGTAACCAATTGATATCATTTTCGTTGGAAAACATGGGAAGTCTTTAAATCTTTTTCTTTTTTTTTTAATCTTAAAACACCACTAACCACTCAACATTTGCCAAACAACTCGAAATTCAAACATGTTTTAATAAACTTCAAAAATACCTTAATAAACTTTAACTCAATTCAATTAAAAGACATTGCTCAAATTCACACATGATTTAATGACATTGTTCAGTTTCACACAAATTTTAGGATAGTGTTCACAGTTTACCACTTACAAAAAGAATAGCTAAAATATAAAATAAGGATAAATAATAAAGTCTTTTTTTTAAGAGACATTTCTTATCTATTTGTATCGAAAACATTTCTTATCGATTTTTAGTACTTTTTAGTTTTTTTACTTGTATGTAATACAATCTTATGTGTACTTTTTTTGTTTTATAAATCCTGGATGTTGTAACTCCGTTTACATTAATGGTTTACAATGTAAACGGTGTTACAATGTAAACCAATAATGTAAACGGAGTTACAACATCCTCTTGACCAGTTACCATGTCATGTAGCTTGAAATATTTAATTTATTTATCTATTAATTAAAAAAAGAGCGAAAATTTTTTAAATAAATTATTTATGTGAACAAACTACAAAAGTGCACATAAACACTTCTGATAAAGAGGTACTGAAAAGTAAAGTCTTTTATCCTTCTACCTTTTCAAACCAAGAAAAAAAATATTGAAAATAAAACTTTAGGTTATTAGGCAATTAAAACCTTCGTATTTAGAAAATGAAATTAAGTAGTTTATAATGCTCCTTAACTTCTTACAGATACATTTGTTAACTCGACGCGTCAGCAAGCTAACATTATTTATATTTTTTTCTTAAAGTTTCTTTTTAAGTTTTAACGGGCTTTATTCACAATTGTTAAAATAGGGATAACTGTTGAAGTATCAGAATTTTTATTTTAATAAATAAGCAGAAATTAATTAATAAAAAAGTAAAGTAGAATTTGAAAAAAGTAAAAGATGTGACAGTAAAACAAAATGTGAAAACTGTGACAGTAAAGTAAATGTAATATAACAATAAAATTAAAAAAAAAGGAAAACATGTGACGGTAAAATAAAATGTGACAGTAAATTAAAATGAAAAATAATGAAAAAAATATGACCAGTGGCACGAATAGCATGACATGTGACATATTACAGTAAAACAACTTTTGAAAAAACAATAAATAAAATAATCTAAGAAGTTCAAAGAGCATCAAGTACCTCGAAGATTAAGATGAAGATTAAGATGAAGATTAAGATGAAGATTAAGATGAAGATTAAGATGAAGATTAAGATGAAGATTAAGATGAAGATTAAGATGAAGATTAAGATGAAGATTAAGATGAAGAATAAGATGAAGATTAAGATGAAGATTAAGATGAAGATTAAGATGAAGATTAAGATGAAGATTAAGATGAAGATTAAGATGAAGATTAAGATGAAGATTAAGATGAAGATTAAGATGAAGATTAAGATGAAGATTAAGATGAAGATTAAGATGAAGATTAAGATGAAGATTAAGATGAAGATTAAGATGAAGATTAAGATGAAGATTAAGATGAAGATTAAGATGAAGATTAAGATGAAGATTACCTTAAATATTCACGGATAGAAATAAATTATTGAGTGACCTAAAAACTGTAAATTGTCGATCGACAGTTTTTCAGTCGATGTGGTTAACTTGACGCGTTTGCTAGTTAGTAATATTTATATTTTTATGAAATGCATGTAAATTAAAAATCTTTTTTGATTAATCAGAAATGAAAACAAATAAAAACTGTAAATTTTCACAGGAAAAAGTTTCCTATTGAGACTGGGAGGGGATTTATTAGGGCCACTTGTCAAAATTTGAGGATTTTATTTATAAGTAATTAAAACTAATCGCAAATAAGTTAGGTAATAGACTAAGTTACTTGTATTGTTTTTTTATGAATTACTTTAAAATACGGTTAAATTTGTAATGTAACTTGTTTATGTTTATTATAAATTAAATTACGCAACAGAACTTTAAAAAAAAAACGTTCTAGCTCACCTGCGCTAATTTTTTATCTCATATCAAATCAATTTATTCATCAATATGAATAAGACGCCGTATATCCGAAACAATTTTAAGTGTTTATTTCGGAAATACAACGTCAGCGTCTAATCAAGATGTTGCTCAGTTAAGAATTTTCCCAAAAGCTTTGTAATATTTATATATATAAAAGATTTTGTTGCTAAAAGCATATTTATACTACCATTAAATAAAAACTAAAGAAGATCTTGAACAAATTTTATTTTACCTGGGAGAAAAATCTTTTTTAAAAAATCTTGCATATTGGATGGCATACAAAAACATAAAATTTTATATAAAAACGTTATTAAACAAAATAACAAAAAAATATCAATAAAAACTGCAATATATAAAAAATCAAAGCAACAAAAATAACATTTAAAAATAACATTTAATTTACATTAAATATTTAAAGAAATAAATACAAGATTGTTTCAGATTTCGTTTAGAGCTCTTCTCCAAATGGTACCTAACTTTTGCTTTAGGCAATCTATGGATCGCATTTGCATCTTGAATAATTCTTTGTCCATCCAAGCACAAATAGATTTGATCGAATTCAAATCTGATAATCTAGCTGGTCAGGGCATAAAATACATACAACTTTATTTCCTTTTATCCATGCTTTTACTGTATGAGCTATGTGGACAGGCGCCAAATCTTGTTGAAATCGCTACCGTTTGTTTTGATCAATCTGTATATCCACTGACGGAACCATGCAGTTCTCTAGCGTCTCTCTATATATATGTTGGTGGAATCAACCTGTATAAATGTTCCTACTCCGTTAAAATTAAAGCAGCCCCAAATATCAACACTGCCGCCGCCGCTCTGCAACCTCCTATTATACACTGCCGCCGCCGCTCTGCAACGGTACAACAAAACGATTACTATACTTTTCCGATTTGAATCTTTAACAAAAAATTTTCTTTTTCTGAGTGTTACTTTAAAGTTACTTTCATCACTAAAAATTATGTTCTTCCACTTTTTAAAAGACCACCCAATTCTCTCCTTACACCACCTATATCTTGTGAGCTGATCTCTGGCCGTCAATATAGATTTTTTAACAGCGGCGTAGACGCCAATTTTTTCCTTAGTAAAATGTTTCTAACTGAATTTGAAGAAATGCGTTTTTCACAGTTTTTGTTGAATACGTTGGTGAGTTCACAATAACTTAATATTGGATTGGCTCTTACTTGACAAAATATAACTATTTTCGCCTTCAGTAGTTTTTTATAACCTTCTTGAACCTGCATGTCTTTAGATGCCACATGTTGTTTTAAATGTCTTTAGAGTAAATTCTCTGCAAATTGTAATTCTTATGTTATTTCTTTATAACTGATCATTGAGCCATTCTTCATACCTATCTCACTTTATTGCTTCGCTTACTGTTTTTGGCCAATTTTTATGTATATTTACTTTTAGGTGTTATCAAATTACTTAAAAAGGCTTTAAATGTGACTAAACTGGTCATCATAAGTAATTTTATACAACATTTTATGGGTTTTGTCAGACTAAAATATAAATTAATAATGTAATTATGAATTATAAAACAGTTTTTTATGATTTATAATTTGATATAATTATGAATTATAAAACAGACAAGAAAGTCAATTAAAAAGTTGTTCAAAACAAAGCAAAAAATTAACCCTTTAGCAAATATGGATGGGATTTTAAGATGTTTTTATCTAATTTTTATTAATTTAATAAAACAACAGCCGGACCATAAAGTAGTCACTTTTTTTTTTAATGTATATTTCGTCATAAAAAAATAATCTTTTATAATGTTTTTACAACATAAAAATATAACATTAAAGTTTCGACCGGAGCTGGCAAAAGACATGGACTTATCACCCAGCCCCGTTAATATAACTAAAAAATTCATCCGATAAAAATGAAAAAGGAAAAAAGAAACAAAAAAATTCAGCCGATCAAAATGAAAAAGGAAAAAAGAAACAAAAAAATTCAGCCGATAAAAATGAAAAAGGAAAAAAGAAACTATAGCAAGAGCTTATTTAAAAATCAATTTACAGAAAAAAAGAAAAAAAAATTAACTATTTTTTCTCATTATTATTATTTTTTAATTCTCTATTTTATTCTACTTTTATTTTTATTATACACGCACACACACACACACACACACGTACGCACACGTACTCACAAATATATGTCCGTTCATATATACATACAAAATCAAATAAATCTGTTTTATATTGCATCTACAAAGTGCGTAAGATATAATTTTTTTTTTAATTATTATTTAGGTGCCCCAAGAAGTCCTAACGGTCATGTCACAGAGCACCGTGGAAGTGCATTTAAGCAGGAAGTTTACGCCTCCTTCCTTACCGTGACGCGGTATAATAAATATTGCATTTACAGATATAAGACCCAGCGGGCATTTTGACGTCCTAAGGACGTTTATAAGATGTCTCAAGTCTCGTCCGTAAGACGTCCTTAGTTGGTCTTGATTGAAAGACCTGAGGACGTCTATTCCAGACATCCTCAAGACGTCTTTTCAAGATGTCCTAAGGACGTTTATTGTAGACGTCCTAGAGACATCTTTTCAGCCGTTCTATGGACGTCTCTGGCAGGTCTTATGTGAAAGACTTAAGGACGTCTTATTCAGACGTCTTAGAGACGTAAATTTACCTAAACATTCTTTTGAAAGTTATATAAAAATGAAGACTACACGGGAAGAAACGGCAGGGTCACATTTTTTCATTTTGCTATAACCCATTTTTAAACTTTTAAACCTATATAACTTTTTTATTTTTAGGGAAACGATTAAAATTTTTAAGATATATTACAAAAAGAACTAATTTTTTATGCAATTAAAGTTGTATTTTTGATTTAAATATAATAATTTACGTTATAGGCTGTCTTTTTTAAGTGAGGTTTTTTATGGGCTCTGCCGTTTTTTCCCCGGTAAAATGTCTTTTTTTATTTTATTAGTTTTTCGATCAATTAAAAACATATAATGTTAATTATTTTTTTATAGGCTTATAAATAAAATTAGGCAGAAGCTAATTTTACCAAACAACCTCACCACCAAGACCTAATATTGATCCTTAAAAAGTCTAGGGGATCGAACTAAAATTAAAAATACTGTTTAGTGTTGATATTTTCGTTTAGAAAATAATTATAGCTCTTGTTAACAAAAGGCTTCAATTTTTGTTTATTTTTCGTGCACGAAAATATAACATACAGTCAACTCTCGATATCTTGAATACTTGATATCTCGAACTTTTTTGAATCCAGTCAAACCCTTATTTAGGAATTATACTCTCGATAACTCGAACATTCTCTATCTCGAACTAATTAATCGGTCCTTTGGAGGTTCGAGATATCGAGAGTTGTCTAATTAATTATAGTAATAGTTCTAGTTCTCGTTAACGAAAGGCTTTAATTTTTATTATAAATCTTTCATTCAAAAATATCGCTGTTGATGACAAAGTTCAATTTGTTTTTAATTTAAAGGTTAACTTATTAAATACCTATATAACTATACCTATACAGGTGTCACAAAACTGTAAGCACAAAAAGTTATTTAATGCAAAGTTTCTTTCCTGATAATAATGGGGCTTTAAAATTTTATAGGTTTAAAAACAATTTAGTATTTATTTGATTTCAATTTTCATTTTCATACCCTGACTAATAATTAAAAAATGTATTCAATATCTTGTGATTATTAATTATATAAATTGTTGTATATTAAGTTAAGCAAAGAAGAAACATATTAAAGATTATAAATTTGTCAAAAAACACTAAGAAAAAAACAATTAAAGACAAAATTTAAATAAAAAAAGAAGTCTATTTACTCTTCATCTTCAGAATCAATATTTTCATGAAATGTCTCGATAACTTCCTGATTGTTTGGCAAAGAATCGTAAACCTGAGCATTGGATGTAAACCTTTTTAATACTTGTAAATCACTGTACTTTGCCATAGAGATACAAAGTTTTGCATTATACAGAATGATAGATTCAATAAAATTTCATATGAAAGATTCATATGACAATTTATCATTTCCATACTTTAAACAAGTCATACATCTTGGTTATAATTATTAGATCTTCGTATTTACCTCTGAAAGAAGAAATGTGATCACATATTTTATTTTTTAGTTGAGGAGTAAAATTGTTATACTGATTCTTGTGTTTACCTCTTCGATCATGGGGAGAGTGACTTATAATGAGAAAAAATAATTTTTATATATAAGAAAACTTCCATTAAAAATAAGCATTTTAAATTCAATAAAAATATATAAATTACCTTTAGTTAAAAGGCTTCTTTTAATGGTCTCTAATTATCCATTCTTTATGCCAAAGATTGAAATAAACGCAGAAAAGCAAACATAAATAAATAAACTCGTAAATATCTTGTGATTTGTAATAAAAAGTTTATATTTGTAACTGCTATTATAACCTTTTGAATTAATGTTTCGTGGTCTTCTTCTTGAAACATTTAAAGTTATTAAACTTGCAAGATACGAATCTTGAGCATCCTTGCTGGATAGAGAGTTAAAATATCTTATTAACACTTTTCTATCTTCTTCTTTAAACATTTCAGCCTTATAAAGTTACACTTAAGCCCTGTTTTATGCGATGCTAATCTTTGTTTCTTTATACTTTCACGCAATCTTTCCTTACTCTTTCTTTTCTTGGATTTTTTTAGCATTTTTATTGGTATTTCAAGTGTCGTCATTTTTATTATTTAATTTACATTAACCAAATCACCTGTGATTATTTTGAAAAATAAAGACTTATAGCCGTAAGTATGAGTCTTGATAATTCAAAAAATAAAAAGGGTAAACTTGGTTTATGTCTATTAGTAAGTTGCAAATATTATTTTAATTCATTAACACTTATTTTTCGGGGAGGTATGTATTGTATAATAAAAAAAAGTGATTAAGTTCCATCAAACTATAAAAGTACATCCAATCGTTTTTTTGATTTGAATTCAGATAAAATGTATAATAATATTGTTTATAAAGTTAAAAAGTGTAAAATGTCAAAATTTTTAAAATGTGACCCTGCCGTTTCTTCCCGTGGAGTCTTCAAATGCAATGATATGCAATACACACCTTTGATGGCAAGTGAAGGCATAAAGAGAAATCAAAGTTCATAAAGTGTAATTTCATATATTCAAAATAAATTAATAATTTTACAAAAACTTAGAAAAATTATTCAAACAAAGTTACACTTTCCAAATTAAAAACTAATATATTTTGTAAAGTATAATCGATAGTATATTAGAAGTAAAAAGAAAATTACTGAAAAATGCAAAATAAATAAAAACACAACAGTTGATTGAAGTTAATTAAGTCATCATTGATTGATATCGATATTGGTGGATTTTCTCTTGAATTGGTCAGAAGAATGCCTAATTAATCTTCCAATAAGTTGCATGAGATCCATTTTGGTTAAGCTTTTATTTGACTTTGAGGCAGCGTCTAATAAAAACAACAAGACATAGTTCAATAAGATCATAAAATATAATACATGTCATGTTCCATAGCCAAAGAAATCGAGAATTTTTTTTTTATTAAAAGATCGTTTTTAATTTTAAAAGTTAATTAAACACAATAATAACCTAATAAGAATACCAGTGATAGCGATACATAGACTTGTCAACTTTTTAAACTTTTTTTTCTTCTTTAGACCATTCATGCTGCATTCTGAAAATAGTGTCTGTTGTCAGTCTACATATAAAAAAGATGATAAATGTCGTGCTGTCAAACATAAATGTTAAAATTTAAACTTATGCTAATTACTTACAAGAGCAAAATATTTTTAATTGTATCAACTGAATTTTTACCACCAATTAATGATAACTGTTTTACCTAAAAAGAAACAATGCGAAAGAAACATTGAAAATGTTCATGACAGTTCAAAAGAAATAATGTAATAACATAATATATAAACTATAAAAATGAAACTCATGCATACAAAAGTGATGTATTGGATATCTCCATTTGCAATTTTTCTTTTCAAAACATTAAGTTCATCTGAATTTTTAAGTTGTTTATAACCTTCTGGATCATTAGAGAACTGTGCAGTTTTATTTACTAAAATGTTTTTAATTTCAGCAAGTTGGAAAAGTAAAATAAATAAGTGAAGCCATATAAATAGCATATAAAGTAGTAAATAGCACTTTCTATAAATGGTTGGAAAAGGTAAATTTAAACTGAATAATGCAAAAAATCTCTACCTATACACAAACATATATACATGTATATATATATCTATATATATCTATATATATATATATATATATATATATATATATATATATATATATATATATATATATATATATATATATATATATATATATATATATATATATATATATATATATATATATATATATATATATATATATATATATATATAAATTAGTAAAAACATTTATCTAATTCTCTTTGTCACCTTGTTTCTCCATCAGTAGGTTCATCAGGAAGCTTTCTGATGAACCTACTGATGGAGAATCAAACTTTCGAAGAGAATTAGATAAGTTTTATTACAAATTTACTATTGCTCTCAGGCATGTGGAGTTGGGAAAAAAAAGTACCAACTTTTATTCGCTGAAATTTTTAGAGAACGACTCCGACTCCGAAGCAAAATTTTTTTGAATTTTGAATAAAAATTGAATAAACATTTCTTTGAATTCTTTAAAAAACGATAAGTTAAAAAAAAAATTTTTTTTGTCAAATATATGAAAAGCTCTTTAAAAGTTAAATATTTTGTACATGAACATGCAATACCGAGAAGTTTTACTATTGGAGCCGGAGTCGCGATTTTGTTTTGCGACTCTGACTCCACTAACAATGTTGCAACTCCAACTCCACGACTCCACAGCCCTGATTGCTCTGTTTTTTAAGAACATTGCAGACATCACTCTATTTGTAGAATACACTAACATAATTTATATAAATATGTGTACATATATATATATATATATATATATACATATATACATACATATATAAAAAACCATTATAAAAAATACAAGTTTAGTATTGTAACGGCATCTGACATCAAATATGCAATACTTGACCGAATCAAAGCGATATAGTATAACTAAATTTTTTTTCCATTTTAGAGCAGTATTTCCAATAGTATATAACACTGATCAATACGCACACACACACACACACACACACACACACACACACACACTTCTTTACTATGATATTTTATCTCACAACAAATAATTATATAATTGCTACTAGGATTACAAAAATCCTACTCTGCAAAGATTTGTAATATCTATGCTGTAGAAGAAAATAAATAAATTGTATATATATATATATATATATATATATATATATATATATATATATATATATATATATATATATATATATATATATATATATATATATATATATATATATATATATTAGGGACATCAATAGGACGTCTTAATATGGTAATGTCTTTGTGTTAACGTCACTAGGACGTTCTAACAATTGGACATCTTTAGGACGTCCTAATTTAGTCTGAGAAATCGCGACCATAGACGTCCGTAAGACGTCTTAAGACGTCTCATTGACGTCTGTGTCCGCTGGGGATATATCATAAGATAGATTACAGATATAATACATATTGCATTTACAAATTGCGTTATTATTGTAAAATAAAATAATATCATACATGTTGTAAGTACGATACAATATAATTAAGATGTTGCGTCAATTTATAAGACATTAAAACTTTGAAAGTAATTTTACCTGAATAAGATCCTGTTTTGGAACTTCTTCTTTTGTTTGTATTGATAAATTATTTTTTCCATCTCATTTGCCAAGCGTTTGTTCACTCTCTCAACTTTTGCTCGCTTTTGCTGTTTCTTTTCTCTTTTACTTCCGCTAGAATGGATCTGATCTGACGTCACACAGATGCTGGTTAAAGCTCTTGCGCAACAATGCAAACTTTAGCTAAAAACAGAAACTTTAGCTAAAAGTATAGAATAACATAATACAGAAAACATAATTTTATGACTATGACTATACATATCACTAATTTCAAAATAATATAGGATCAATAGTAAAATAAAATTTAAAAATGCCTATGACTAACCTACAGCTTTTTCGGGCGAAGAAAACCACCTGGTTGATCATAACAGGACTAATACTGGATTTCTTTTGTTTAAAAGCTAGTAGTGGTAAAGAAGACATCATTTTTGTTGTCAAATTATTAGAAGAAGTATAATGGTAATTTAATCTAGTAGAAGGATTTGCCCATATGTAACATCAGAAAGTCTGAAACTAGTATATTTTGGCCTAATACATTGTTTTATTTACTATTCTAATAGTACATGGGCTAGTAATCAACCAACAAAACTTTTCTCTACAAAAATATGCATGCAGACTAATATATAAGAAAAAAAAATGAACATGCAAAACCACTAATGAAAGACATGCAAATGATGAGTATATATAAAATTAATATTTACCACTTAATTTAACATTTAATTTTTATGTATAAATATAATAACAGCCTGATTCCGAAAACCTTTAATAATAAATTTACGAAAAATGTTAACAATACTTATTCTCTTTGAATAAACCAATGGAGTACTTATAAATTGCCTAGAATTAGGAGCAAGTATTCTGAATATGGAATAGCATACCGTGGACCGAAACTATAGAACATTTTTCAAAAAATCAAACATTTAAATAGGGTAAAACCATTAAACTCCTTTAAGTTTCTAATAAAAAATGAAATTTTTAAACATTATAAATAATTTTGGAATTTTTCTAAATGATTATCGAATTCCATTATTCTTAGTTTGAAAAAAAAAAATTGTATCTTTTTTTTATATTTAAAACAATGTCAGTATTTTTTTTATGACTATTGTTAAAATTATATTAATACTATTTCCTTTCTTTCTTTAAATGTAAATAATTATGAAAGTTTTTTTTTTTAATCTTTTTATTATATTGGAATTGTACAATTGTATTTTTAACAATGTTATTCTATTTTAAACTTGTAAAGCCCACATAGGGGCTCTATGAAAAGATTGTGGTGACCTTTAGTCATCCGTATCTTCTTTGAGCCCCTGCCTATTTTTATAAAACAACTTTTTTTTGTATGTAAATGTTTGTTTCTAATTACATTTTTTATTATATAAATAGCAAATATATATAAACTAAAAAAAACAAACTTAGTTTTATGAATGTGCCGGTTTGTGTCTCCAATTGCCTGTTTCGTTCAAACGCAAAATCAAACCAGTTTCTTCGTTTGCTTGTTTTAAGCACGTCAAATCTGGGACAATCCAATACAAAGTCATCGCAGTTTTTTAAAATTCTGCATAAATATTTTAAATGCTAATTTTAGCAGAGGCTATAGGTGTTACAAAATCGTAATTAAAGAACATGTAAAAAGTTACTTAAAATTTAACTAAGCATATAATTTGACGCAATTCTTTATTGTGTTTACAAAATGTATTTATCACTTACAGGTTTATGTATGACCCAGTTGTCTGCGCTTTTAGTGAAAACTATTTGAAGAGATGCACTGTTGTGAAATGTTCCGCCAATTTATACCTAAATACTCTTTCGTCCAGGTGACTATGTTGGGATGCTTTGCCGTGAAAAACTTATATCTTCAAATAAATAATGATAAAGTTAACATTCTAGCCTACTTTTAAAACAAGGTAATGCAAATTATATTTTAGGTCTATATCACTATCAATTTGTATTTGTTTACTTTTTAAGGTAATAACTTATTTAGTTATTGTATCAATTATGGTATGCTATTAAACTTGTCACTAAACTAAAAATACTATGTAAACAAATACCAGTATAGTAACTTATTATATATTATATAAGTATTGGTTATTGTATTTACTAACCACCGATGGCCGGGTTTTAATGTGCAAGCTGTGTAAAGTGCCAAATTTGTATGGTCAGTCCCTATGAAAATCTCGGGGAAACTTTCTTCCAAACTAAATTTAAACAGCTTTTTCTTTCTTATTGCAGTTTTTTTTTATAGAATAAAGTTAAAAAAAAAAAATTTCTATAAAATTGGACTTTTCTTCTTTCAAACGGAAATTAAAAGTCATAAGTTTTTTTTTTTTTTTTTTTTAATTTCTATTTCTTTTGTTTCATTCATGCACAGCTATATATGGTTTATGTAGATTTATTTTTATTTTGATTATTTTTTATTATACTTAATATTGTAAAATGATAAATAAGCACTAAAAATTTCATCCAAAAAGCTTTTCTAGATTAGATAGATTATAAGATATCAGGTTTTGAAGTTGCGAAAAAAAGATAAAACCAGAAAGTTGTAAAAGCAAAAAACTCAGTATAAAACACAGAAAATATTTAGAAAAAAAAAAAAAATTCACTTATGAAAACGTTTAGTTCCCCAATAAAAAAAAGCTAGTCCTACATGGGTTCCATGTGGGTCCTCATAAATTCAGGGCCGGATTAGGAAATTTTTAGGCCTGAGGCTGTAAGTATAGGAGGGCCTAATGTGGCGGTAAGGTAAAAATGCCGAGCGTTAGCGAGGCTAAACCCGGGGGTCAGTGGACCGGAGGCCCCTAGCCAGGGGGTTTGGGGGCCCCCAGACCCCCCAAGTAGGAGGGTCAGGGGGGAAGCTGCCCCCCAGAAATATTTTTTTAAGTCCTGCTAATAAAAGGACACAACCTAGGTATGTTTTAGAGCATTTTTTTTTATAATTTTTTACCAACTGGTTAAGTACAGCTACACCCCTTTGGCCCAGACACCCATATATATGTAAACTGACAAAAGGTCTTGAATCATGACTTAAGAAAGCAACTGCTGAGCTGTAGGTATATTTACTATTGAGACAGTGAAGTACGTGTATCAAATTGATAATGTGTTCACCTCCAATAAAGGAAGAAAATACCAATAATATTGATATTTAAATGAAAAAATTCAAGTCGTGTTTTTGGCTTTTGAGACATATCTTGACACATGATAGCCAGTGTAGACTTCACTTGCGTATAGCCAACCTGGAGGGAGTGTACAGCATCATAATGTGCTGACCATCTGGTATCAGATAACCTTTTTAAGGTAGGCATATTAAGTGGCTTTAAAACTGCCATCAAACGATTCCAACGAGAGGTGGAGGCAGAAAAAAATACAAACAGCTTATTTACAAAGTCAAAAAACGTTACAGCCTTAGAACAACATCCTACAGCACATTGACCAACAAGGTTAATCGATTGAGCACAACATGGTGTGTATTCAGCTAAGTTATTATGTTCTTTTATTTTTGCTTGCATGCCATTGAAACGGCCACTCATGTTGGCAGCATTATCGTAGGATTGACCTCGGCAGTCTTTAATTGAAATGCCAGTATTTTCCATAAAATCAAGTGACTTTGTTGCTAATCCTTCCCCAGTGTGCTCTTCTATAGGGATAAATGTCACAAAACGTTCAACTGGTCCTTTAGAAGTCATGTAACGGAATATAATGGTAAGCTGATCTACATGTGAAATATCTGGTGTTGAGTCAACACTAACTGCAAAGTATTTTGCTTCTTTAATTTCAGTTAAAATGTGGTCCAAAACGTCACGACTTAACACATGAATAAATTCATCACATATAGTTGATGACAGATATGACACATGACCTCGGCCTTTGTTCGCTCTTTTCTGAATATGTTCTGCAAGCAATGGGTCAAACTCAGCCACTAGCTCTAAGCAACCTAAATAATTGCCATTGTGGACAGAACCCACAATTTCGTTACTGCCACGGAATGACAACCCACGCGATGCTAACATTTTGATTACGGTAAGAATACGCAACAGAATGTCATTCCAGTACTTTTTCTCTGATTCAAATTGCTCTGTGAGCCTCTTATTAATGTGCTCTCCAGCTTTCCTACGTGTTAAAAGGGTTTCAATTGATTGAATGAGGGTTTCACTTGTTTCATGACGAGCTAAGTCTCTTGCAGCGTGTTTCCAATCATCATATCCTGATGACATCAAAGCAGATGCTCCAATTCCACATTTTTGAATTAAATAATTTACAATGGGCGCAGAAAACCTTACCAGTTGATGGGGAATAGCAAATCCAGTCTCTCTTAATTTTCTCACCATTCACTTTTTCCCGGAAAAAAAGGGACTTTGTACACTGTCGTTTAAACTTAAAAGTGTCACCAGGCAGTACTTTAGTAGATAATTTAAAATCCCTATCCATATGTTGGCATGATAAAAACCCATCTGCACTTTTGCTGAAATACTCACGCAGGTCGTCGGTTATAATCCACTTAGCCACATCGGTGTTGACAGTGTGGTCGTCAGAGCCAGGGGTAACACTGCTGAGATAACTGAGACGCTTGAACTTGCTGTAGCTGAGTCTGTTGAGACACTATTAGAATTACCTGGAACTGGTGCTGACATAGTTAGTGAGTTTGAACTCGCTGAACTACCTGGAACTGGTGCTGACATAAATGAGTTTGAACTCGCTATAGCTGAGTCTGCTGAGACACTATTAGAATTACCTGGAACTGGTGCTGACATAGTTAGTGAGTTTGAACTCGCTGAACTACCTGGAACTGGTGCTGACATAAATGAGTTTGAACTCGCTATAGCTGAGTCTGCTGAGACACTATTAGAATTACCTGGAACTGGTGCTGACATAAATGAGTTTGAACTCGCTGAACTATCTGGAACTGGTGCTGACATAAATGAGTTTGAACTCGCTGAACTATCTGGAACTGGTGCTGACATAAATGAGTTTGAACTCGCTGTAGCTGAGTCTGCAGGGACACTATTAGCACTACCTGGAACTGGTGCTGACATTATTGACATAGTTAGTGAATTTGAACTCGCTCTCGCTGTAGCTGATACCGAGACACTACTTGCAGTATTACAAAACTCAGTCATTTTTTTATTTTTGCTCAATAATTCATTTAATTGAATCTCATTCTTCTTCTTTTTTTGCATTTTGTCCCAACCGCTCAGGCCGCTCCTTTTCATTTTTTATTTTAATTTTGTAAACGAATGAGCAATGCTGTAATTTTCTGCGGTAACGGAAGTGATCATAAAATAAAAAATGAAACTTAATCTCTATTCATTTATTTACTAAAAATGAAATTCATTTATAAAAAAAAAATTCATAGTAAATTCATTATAAAAAAAATTCATTACAAAAAAAATTTCATTATAAAAAATTCATAATAAAAAATTCATTATAAAAAATTCATTATAAAAAATTCATTATAAATTCTTTATAATGAATTCATATAAATTCTTTATAATAAATTCGTATAAATTCTTATAATGAATTCTTTATAATGAGTTCTTTATAATGAATTCATTATAAAGAAATTCATTATAAAAAAAAAATTCATTTATAACTAAAAATGAAACTATATCTCTATTCATTTATTTATTCACAGCGCTTCCGCAGCTCCCAATAAATTGATTTAAAAAAACTGAGAAACATAGGAATATTTATCTGGTTCCCTAAAAAAAAAAAAAAAAAAGTAAAAAAAAAAAAAAAAAGTCACGGGCCTTAGGGCCTATATTTTTTATAAGGGCCTGGGGCTGCAGCCTTATCCGCCCCCGCCTTAATACGGCCCTGCATAAATTTTTCAAAAAAACCCACATGAAAACCCATGTGGGATAAATGACTTTTTTTTCACTAGGGAACAACAAAAAAAGAAATTAAAGTTTGGTAAAAACGATAAAGATGTTTTCCAGTAAAAAAGATAATTTATTTTAATTTTTGTTCGAAGGAACTATAAATAAAATTAATAGAAAAATTGATATTAGTTATAAATATTTTATTCCAGAGATGCAAACCACGATAAGAAATACAAAATTGATCATATTTATTTTGGCAAATTTTAACTTATTTGTATATAAACTTTAAAACATTAAGTTATTTGTATATAACTCTTATTTATTTTCAAGTTTTTTTTTTATACGAAGATTTCGGAATGCACAAGGAGGCATTTTGTTACACTTTTTTGTTCAACATATTATTATATACATGTTTAGTTGATAAATACTCAAAGCTTATATTTTTTTTTAAGAAATGTGTAAAATGGTTTTTAATACTTATTGCGCCAGCAGTGTGTTTCTGATAATGATTATGTTTTGTTTTATGTTTGATATGACAATGATTAAAGGAATAATATATTTATGTTAACTGTTGTTTGTTTAATATGTTTCTAGCTTTATATTTAATACTAACAGATTTAGCAACTTTTGAGGAGTATGTTAAATACAGACTCCTAAAAATTTTCAAACCTTTTTTCTTTTAATACATTGTCAATAGAAAGATTAGGCATCAGAGTTGGCAACCTTCATTTTATTGATACCAATGTCTAGAGAAAGAACTTATTTATTTTGAACAAATCAAAAAGTTTGAAAGTTTTAAAAAAGTATATGTATATTTTTCATGAGATAAAAACAAGTTTATGTCATCTGCAAAGATTATGGTTGTCAAGTTAGAAACTTTCTTAAGATCATTAATGTTTTTAGAAAAAAAGAAGAGGCCCCGGTATAGATCTTTTCGAAACACAACATATTTGAGAAAGTTAGTTTTCATTGTAAGCATGTTATTATTTAATTAATTATATGTAAAATACTTTTTATTCAAATTTATGTTTGAATTAGATGAAATTTGTAATCATTAACGTATTTAAAGTTTAAGGGTGGAATGCAAGAAGCAAACTCGACTTGAACTTTATTTTGTAACCAATAGCGGCAGAGTATTTTTTGAGGGGAAAACCCATACTCTGTCACTATTGGTTATAATGTTAAGCTCAAGTCGAGCTTGACTCAAGTTCGCTTCTTGCATTCCACCCTAAATCTTATCTTAAATCGCGTAATACTATTATGAAAGAATTTAATTTGAATCTAAGCGAGATAAGGATTGCTTTTATAAGCGAGATAAAGAATGCTTTTGGTAATCTAAAAAATCATAAAATTGCAAAGACAAAATTAGCGGGTAATATGAAGTTAAGTCAGTGTTTAATATCTTAAAACTGTCTTTATTTTATAATTTTGACCTTTTATCAAAATTAGGTGTTATATCTGAAAAACTAAAAGTTACACTTAGCGAAATTACCAATAGTTTCACTTACAATTTGTACATATTAATAAATTCACGAAGTATTTGCATTTTTTTGTTTTGTTTATTACAGGAATTATTTGGAATAAATAAAAAAGCAAATGATATTAAAAAATATATATATTCATTGATTTATTTCGTAAAATCTAAAAGTTAGAAATATTTTGAAAAAACATACGAAATTTTTATATTTCCATCAAAAGTTAAAGTTTCTAATTTTTTGAATAATAATTTTTTAATTACTTCACTTTTATAATAATGAGTACTACCACCTTTTGCACTAATTCGAAGTTTCAAAAAGTTTCGGTTTTTCTTATTTTTTATAAGATTTTCCTAACCTACCTTTGAAATACTGTTACATGCTTCTTGGAAAGACGATTTAAGTTCTTGTATCGTATTATACTTTCGAGAACTTAATAACAGAACTTAATATGCGTTAATAACAGAAGCAACAAGCTACCTTCTGAATTTTCATTCTATAGTTTACATAATATGCTTTTTTTTTTTTTTAATTTCTTTTAATTATCGATCTATTTTCATTTTCCGTTCTCCCTAATGTGAGGATAGAAAAAAACGAATATTTATTCGTTATACGACTGAGCGGGAACGAATATATTTGTATAAAGAATATTCGTAAAACATCTATTTGTGAACGAGTGTTATTCATTCAGTAATCGTACAACGATTAAAATAAAAACGAGCAAGTATTTGTACGAGTAGGATTGACGAATGTTTATTAAAATATTTTTTTGTCTAGTAATCGTCACTCTATAGTCTGTATACGTCGATGGTTGCAATTTTATACGTAGTGGTGGTAACAAAACCTTTTTGAAGTCTACTAGTGGCTTGTACCTATTAACTACAATAGCCACTGGTGGCCATTGTAGTTAATAATTGATCGTAGTTCATTTCCATTATGTAAAAACGCTGCTTTTAAACTTGGCTTTGAAGCGTCAATATTATTAATATTAAAATATTAAAACATTTATTATATAATATTACAACATATATATAACATAATAACATATATAATTATTATAGCTGTAGCCGTAAAATATACATACAATATATACACACAGCGAGCAGGAAAAACACCCTACTATAAACGAATATTCGTTCCTAATTTTATCCTCAACCCGTGACTTAGTCTAATTTTAAAAGAAAGTACAGTTGAGTAGAAAGTTACTTGTTCGGGTATTATATAGTTGGTTGTGCCTTGGAAGACAGTTTGGAACATATTCAAGATATTTTTAGATGGTGACCACGTGACAAGGAGTTAATAATTTTTTTTTTAATTTAGGTTATTTAGGTGCTCCTAGAGGTTGTTACGGTGTTATCACGGCCTGGTGGGAAATGAGCTAGCGACTAGCTAGCGACTAGCTAGCTCTATAGCGATTTTCTAGCGATTTTTTTTTTCTTATTTTATTTTTTGCAAATGTCTTTAACATCTTTAAAAATTCGATTTTTAGTGTTGACTCTATTATAACTATAAAAATAATTGAACTTTAAACATTGCAATTTTGTAGCAATATGTCGCTAGCTACATATCGTAGCTTTGAAGCTAGCTACAAAATATCTACAAATCTATACCTGGTTGATAGCTACATATCAAAAATTTTTAGACAACGGTTTTATTACGATATGACGCTAGGTACAATAGCCAGTGGATCTTCAGCTTGTTAAGCTAGCTGTCCTCGTTGCCAAATCGCTGTCTTTATCTTTACAAAAATCGATAGCTTTTCGCTAACTTAAAAAAGCTAGCGATCCTCGTGGCCAAATCGCTGTCTTTATCGTAACGATTACAGCTAGCTATTCGCTAGCCGACTTCCCACCGGGGGAGCACCGCAGAAATTTTGGTTGATATATATTATTAATTATGTGCGGCCGTGGAACAGTGGTTAAAGTGCTTGCTTTATAAGCAGGAGATCCAGGTTCGAAACGAGCCTTGGACATATTTTCGGGTCACGGTAAGGAAGGAGGCGTAATTAGGAAGGAGCACAACATAAACATAACTTATATATATATATATATATATATATATATATATATATATATATATATATATATATATATATTTATATATATATATATATATATATATATATATATATATATATATATATATATATATATATATATATATATATATATATATATATATATATATATACATATATATATAAAATATAAATATTTGTGCGGCCGTGGTACAGTGGTTAGGGATCGTCCATAAATTACGCAACGCAAAAAATATTTTAGAAACAGGAGTAGGAGATATTAGGCTCTTTTACGCGGCAATTTTCATTTAACTTAATTTCCTATTTTGATTGTTTATCTAAATTAAGACTCTGCGAGGGAAATCTTTTGATCTTTTTTTGTTTTGTTTTTTGTGAAATTTTGCGTTACGTAATTTATGGACGATCCCTGCTTTATAAGCAGGAGATCCAGGTTCGAAACGAGCCTTGGACATATATTTGCATCACGGTAAGGAAAGAGGCGTGAACTTCCTAGTTAAATGCACTTCCGCGGTGCCCTGTGACAAGAGAAACCGTTAGGTCTTCTTGGGGCACCTAAATAACAATTAATATATATATATATATATATATTATATATATATATATATATATATATATATATATATATGTATATATGTATGTATATGTGTATATGTATGTGTGTATATATATGTATATATATAAGTTATGTTTATGTTGTGCTCCTTCCTAATAACACAACTAATTATATTGAAAAATATAGTAAGTAATAAATATAATAGTTATAAGTATCACATGAAATTATTTTA